CGAAGCATGAACAAACAAGTAAGAACGAATGTCTTTGACAATTAAATATTGAATACCCTTTTAGACATTTGCCTTACGATTTTCCAAATATGTGACAATTAATTGCTGTCTTATGTGAAGTTATCTTCAAAAGCAGAAGAGTTTGCCATACAAAAACTAATTTTTGACCATTTCTTCCTATATATCCTAAGGGATATATCAGTCCGATCCTAATGAGGTATTGCTTATATATAGAAGCACAGCTAAAGACTGTAAAATATTTTGAAAAAACATAAAAGGTTTTCAAACTAAAACCTTTTTTTCATGGATATTTCCTATGTCAGCTATACAATATGGGTCCGATATGTACCGATGATAAGATAAAATAAGATTTTGCTGAAGGAAGCATAGTGCAACATATACATGCCAATATTAGTCAAGATATATTAATGATGATTAATGATTACCTATAAAAACAAGATATGGCTATGTCGACTTGGCTGTTGATCAAGAATATATATGCTTAATATGATCGGAGATATCAACTTGTTTGCGTTACACATTTAATGACAAAATAATAATACCTTCTACAAGGGTATTATATATAAAACCAGATAGGTTATCATAGCAACAGCATTAAGATAGATTAAGTAGAAAAGAATATATTATATTCAAGTTGAGATCTGGCACATGTGACAACTAACAGATATTTTCAGTTGAATATATTGTTAGTGTAATCATTCAAGCAAGCTTTTATCACAAGCAATCAAGTGCGCGTAATTATAAATATCTGAATATTTAATAGTAAAGCAGACGCATTTGGAATACAAACTCAAATTCAGTTACAGCCGCACCCATTATAATTGATTGATAGCAAATGTATATATATGTATATTTACGAGTAGCTACTGATATATGTATCTAGTTGTATGTATGCACGTATTTGCGTAGTCCATATCTAATGATTTAATTATGTAGAGATTGTGCTTCGACTAAATAAAATCTCGACCTAATGTGCTATAATATGCAATAACCTGTTTGCTATCTAGTCACAGTGCTGAATATACTCACTTGCCATTGCCCTTGTTGTACAAATCGACGATCAGATCGAACATGGATTGTTGACGCAATACCATTTTATGCATGTTTCCCACGAATGGATATGGTTTTTCATAATCTATGCCTCGCTCCTTGAAGAAATTATAGTTGGCTGTGGCCCAGCGATAGGCCAGCACCAGGGCGACGACGAAAATCGCCAGAAACTCTAATAGCATCTTGAATGTTCACCGATCTAGCCAACCCGTACGGTGAGGCATCAAATTCCAACTGAACAACGCTGCGATCGGAGCGCACAGAAATCAACTAATTGAGTCCCACACGAATAAACGAGTCAAGTGCTTCGCTTCAATGAACGGGGAAGCTTTTGTTTCGAGCTTTGGAAATGATGAAATTTGTTTGATAAATTAATATAATATATTAATAAATGTACGCAGTTGTATGTGCCACACACAAATCAACAATAAACAAAAGCAAAAAACAAAAGCAAACAGTTCTATTATTAAACTGATACTGCGGCTGTGAACTTGACTGTCATTTGAATGAACGTACGAGTGGGTGTGGCCACCGAGTGTAAACAAATGCCACTGCTCGACTATTAGATGCCCCTTAATTAAATATACGTTAATCTTAACCTCTTTTATGCTTTTATACCCTTGCAGTGGGCATTATAATTTTGTCGTGAAATGTGTCACACATAGAAGGAGACATCTCCGACCCCATAAAGTATATATATTCATGATCAGTATCAACAGCCGAGTCGATATAGCCATGTTCGTCTGTCTGTTTCTATGTCTCTCAGTTTTATCAAACTTTCCAGAAGTGCCTCTTTCTGTTGCACGCAGTACATATGTTAAAACCAGCTGGATCGGCCCACTATATCATATAGCTGCCATAGGAACGATCTGTCGAAAAGTAGGTTCTTGTATGAAAAACATTTTTGTTTGTCAAGATATCTTGATCATCATATATATGCAAAATTCTATTAATATCGGACCACTATATCATATAGCTGACATAGGAACGATTGCTCGAAAATTATGTTGTTTTAAACCTTCTTTGTTTTTCAAGATATCTTGACCAAGCTTGGCATTTATTAGTTTTACTCTGCTCCTTATATTTATGCAAAATCCTATTAACATCGGACTACTATATCAGATAGCTGCCATAGGAACGATCGGTTGAAAGAAAATTAAGTTGTTGTATACAAATTTTTTCTGTTTTTCAAGATATCTTAACCATACTCGGCATTAACTATTTTCCCTGTGCTTCTTAAGGGTATTTAATCTTCGGCGTGCCGTTTTTATTGTTTATACATTTTTAAAGAAAGGTCTCAGACCATTAAGTGAAAATATTTCCGTGAATACGGAGAAATCTTAATTAAAAACGAATCATACAAAATTACTATGTGACACTCTTAAATCTGAGATTATCAGTATGATTATACAGTATGATACAGATCGATATCACTTCAGGTGTTGTTTAAGTACTTTATAAGGACATAAATTTCTGCTTCTGCAAGTTTCTTACATTTGCTCAAGTTAAAGACTTTCTTTTTGATATCCAATTTAAATTATGTATAAGAGGTTTTCCACATAGATACATATAGATTTTCGGATAAAACGATATTTCATTTTCAGTATCTAATAGATATTACAAATTATCGATATGGTGTCGAAAATATTACCGGAATAAGCACATAAATATATTTTTGCTACCTAAATCTTACTTTTAAGATTTACTGATCATACTTTTATAGAATCTGTAAGATACAAATCTATTTTTCACCTGGACTGCCTGTTTAGTCTCTGCCAAAATCCAAGCCCCCCTAATCCCGCATACTCTCATATTGATCACCCGTTGATCCCGATTATAATTGATCTATAAAGATCACACCTAGTCCATTACTTGAACTGATCAATTCAAGTTATTATAGGCGCTCAAAAGCCTAGCATACTCGTGCATAATCCAATAGAGCCGGATGTATCCTGATCTGTGCACGGACTGTGATTACGAAACTAATCTTGAGCACAGCGCACGATCCATCGGGGCTATGGCTACGCTGGGCTTATCTCCGTTTAGCGGAACGGGACGATAAGCACGTTGGCAGAAGTTGCATTTGAGGTTTGGTTAGGATGTGTTTTCCCCTGACCACAGCGACGCCAACTAATGAGGCGCCTCTCCATATGTTGCCGTGCTCGCGTCAGCTCGTGAAATTTCCTCATTAATCAAAGTATGAATATGACGCCATATCCTTATTGTTTGCTCTAATTATGCTCAGGTATAGATGGAAAAGCGTCGCAGACATGTTCCATGAATGAAACATGAACTGGCTGCAAATGTGCGATATTTAATTATTTTACAATATCTTCTGTGAACATTTATGATCGTTGCATTGTTTTAGGTAGGTGCTACTTTATGACGCCGCTGCCGACGGCGGGGCCGGGGCCGAATCCGAATCCGTTCCGAATGCGTGGAAAATCCCGCGCTCGTTATTTGACAAACATGCGGGGAAAGTCCCAAAAACCGATGCCGATCCAAGGCGGCTGCTGGCCTAAGTGCCAGCCTACACAAATAAGCTCGTGGATTTTTTATGGCCTTGCCGCGCCCGGCAGCCCACCTACAACTACCTGACAGCTCGCCGGGCTCAGTTTCCTGGCAAAGCGCATTTATGAATGAGTCCCGATCTCTACGCTGGTAACACGAATCGTGAATGAATCTGTGTGGCGCATCGCACTTTTATTACAGGTACTAAAACCACCTACGAGCACGGCCCTAAAACCCTACCTAACCCGACGCAACCCAATGCAGCCCAGCAGAAATGCACCCGTTGCATTCATTAGCGTTGCCGAGAACAAAGCATCTTGCACTTAATCCTAATGATTTCCCTTTTGTTTCTAATGACGCAGCGGTAGGCTTATGTGGGACGAGTAGCGCGCTCTCCTCAACTACGAAGCCACAGTTCATAAGAATCGCGGCTAATACAACAAAACAATCGATTAATAACACCATCAATTTTAAATGATTCTTTAACAAAATTACTGCTAAAAACATAAATGTAAATAATATTATTTGTATACCTTTTAATGAAACATTTCATTGCAAGGAACATTTATTAATATGTATTTTATCCAAAATAAAAAACCCAATTAACAAATAACCTTTGTCTAAATAAATTTAATTCTTTAAATTAACAAATACCAATCAAATATTATAGATATAAAAATATGAATAATGACTATAATATAAACAAAAATATTTGAATGCAAGGTACATTAATTGAAATGTAATTTATTAAAAATAAGCAGTCTAATAAATCAATAAACTTTATTTAAATAAATTTAATTCTTACAATTATCAAATTAACAAATACCAATCAAATATTATAAATATATGTACAAACTATTCTAGGTTTAATCAAAACCTAATAAAAATATAAAAAATATTTTTCATGTTAATAAATTGTTTCTATTTTAAATTATATTTATTCGTATATATAAGTTGTTATGACTTCTCTTTGTATTTGCCTTTCAAATTAAACATTTAGATTTGTTCAATTTAATTGCTCTCCAGCATTTTTTACACAACTTAATTTTTTAAAAATGTTATATACTTATGATCAAAAAAAGATAGAGAAAGACAAAATGTATACAAGAAAACCAGATGCATAAAATCTCAAAATATCTTTTTATGTGCATATTCATTCAAATTAAATCAAATATTTTCTTTTAAATTAAAAATGCCCTTTCAGAAGCAAAACAAAAGTATTTGAGCTAAACATATATTCGCTGCGCAAAAAAAAAGGTGCTTGCTTTTTCGAGAAGGACTGCAGTCAATTTTTTTATATTTCAGTTATCTGAATATTGCATAAATCGAGCTCAAAACTATGCCAAAACATTTGTCTAACCAAGCTATCTTTTAATGTATCTATTCTTTTTTTTTTTTTTTGCATATCTCCATTTGGCTGGGCGCAAACGCCTACCAAAGGCCGCAAAGTGCCCAACAATATATCCATGTCATCCCCCGGAGCAGGGCGACGATAAGCTTAAAGCAACTGTACCATTTTACATGCTCAAACCTTAACTCAAACCCCAAAAAAAAAAATATTGAAGCCACAATTTGCTCCGTTTAGAAATCTCAGCGTATTCTTATACATATAGGATACACATTTTGCATATTTAAAGCAGAAAAGTTGCTCGCAAGACGCGACCAACCCCCAGAAAGAAGCACTTAATTCAATAATAAATTGCCGCCACACTGAAGGGCAGCAGCAGCAGCTAAGGCAAGCCCCGAATCAACCCAGTCAGAGCCCACAGATAACCAAGTTACAGCTCAGCTTTGTTTAGCTCCGGGTGCGAGGCCACGGGCCGGGGGGCCAGAGACCAGCCCAGCCCAGCCCGGCCCAGGCCAGCCCAGTTTTGCGCCTCAGAGACAACAACTTTTATCAAATTGCGTATAAGGGGGTTTGTCGGTAGGTAAGCGTAAAATTCATAATCATGAATGCTTCGCTTAAACTTCCACCCCGTTGGGAGTTACAAAAGCAAAAAAACAAAAATATAGATACTTCCCCACATATATACTTAATGCTGGGAATATGCACGTTAAAAGCGAAAGTCAAGGAAGCTACCATTTCGATGGAATACACGAGTACATTATATACAAGCCTGCGAGTGTGTGCGTGAGTATCTGTGTATCTGAGTCTGCGTGAGCGGCCATTGTTGTGCGCTGCGAAAAACAACCCTGAAGCGTGCCTCTCGCTCACACAGACAGATAGCCAGCAAATCGATGAATGGAGCGGCCGACGTATGTGTGTGTGTGTGCGTGCCTAGGTAGGCCGCTAGGTAGGCCTACTGGCCAGGACCTTTGCGTCGAATGAAAGAAAAAAAATCTCTTTAAATTGTGCGCCGCTCGGCCGGGAGAGTTCAGTTCGAGTTGAGATCTTGTAACGCACACACACAGCTCCGGCTACGCAATTGCACCGCCAACTGTTCCTCCGCCCAATTAACGCAGTGATTCTCTAAATTTAAAACGAAAAAAACACAGTAAAAAAAACGAAACGAAATATGTCGACAATTAATATGCACCCACCGCAAACGTATTCGCGCCTGTTCCGTCCCTGGGATACGCAACGCCAAACGCCAGCGCCGCCCGCTCGGACCGTGAAACGTGAACGTGAACCCGAAACGGTGACCATCAAAACGGAGCTGCCCAGCAGCAGCAGCAGCAACAGTAGATGCTGCTATGGTCAGGATAGCGACCGCGAGTCCTCCTCATCCTCGTCGAGCAGCAGCAGCAGCAGCACCAGCAGCAAATCCAGCTACGAGGATGGCCTCAACAGCAGCTACACGCGCACCTCGACTCCCCTGCTGGATGCCGCGCCGCAGCCAACGTTTCCGGCTGCCTCGGCGGTGGCGCCACAGCCACAGTTGTCGCCGCAGCCAGCACCGTTTATGCCCGCCAGCGAGCTGTACTATGCCGCAGCAGCAGCAGCTGCCGCCGCTGCCAATACACCGGCCGCCGCTGCCTTTGGCATGGATCCATTCACCCTGGGCCTGATGGAGCAGGAGTACGCTCGTGTCATGGCCGAGGATGCGCAGCTAAAGGCGCTGAATGCACGCAAACAGCGGCCAAAGAAATTCAAATGCCCGCACTGTGATGTCGCCTTCTCCAACAATGGCCAGCTGAAGGGACACATTCGCATACACACCGGTAAGTTAGACGCAGCCAAAGGATATTCGATTCGCATTACTAACTGGAGTTTATTTCATTATGTTTACAGGCGAGCGACCCTTTAAGTGCGACGTGGAAACCTGCGGCAAGACCTTCACACGCAACGAGGAGCTGACCCGGCACAAGCGCATCCACTCGGGACTGCGTCCGTATCCGTGCAGCGCATGCGGCAAGAAGTTCGGTCGTCGCGATCATCTCAAGAAGCACATGAAGACGCATATGCCGCAAGAGCGCCAGCTGGGACCGGCCATCTTTATGCCCATGTATCCATATTTGTATGGCTACTAAACAGTTGACCAGCAGCTGCTCCAGCGATCTGTGAATCCGCGGGCTACAAGCCCAAATATCTACCAACGACAACAACAACAACTCAAGAAGCAACTCAATGCCGGCCAAGAAATACTCTACCTCAGGCGTACCTGGCGCAAACTGGCGCAGACAACACACACACACACACACACACACGAAACAAACAAAAACTACCTCAGCACCAATCTAAGCCAAACAATCATGAAGACGATATTTATAGATATCCGTGACGATATATGCAAATATTGAGCTATTTATTTTTTAATGAATATTTACATTTCCACTACGTGACGTGAGGTAGAAGCGTCGAAAAAAACCCCACACATGTGTAAATAAAAATCCTTAAGTGATCCTTTCTCATATGCTAAGCGATTAAGAGTTTTTAAGAGACATCTACATTTAGAGACCTAAGTATATTTTTCACATTTTTATATGCGCTGAATGCGGTTAATAGCAATATACGATTTACATTTAAAGCATCTAGTTAAATATTCAGAGCTGTATTATACGAATTATGTTTACACAAAAAAAAGCGACTACATAAAAGTTAAAAAAAAACATATTTGATTATTTATATTTATTTATATCCTTAGAGAGCAAGAAACAAAATATCTTTTAGCTGGGGCACATTTAAGGAGCATAATTAATTATTTAACTTTTCTTTGATTCATACAAATTCTTGATATTTCTACAAATTTTCTCTGCTTATATGTTGATTTACGACTTTGCGTCCATTTTGGCAGCGCATTAATGCCTGTCACTTCCCACTAACCAGATCATTTTTGGCAAATTATCCGCATCATGCCGGCTAAATCAAAGCAAAAATCTGCAGTTTGCATTCGTCGGCACATTTGACGCATCCGCAGCAAAAAGGGTTAAAATTCACAAGTCATCTGCGAAAATTCATTCACAAAAACAAGCAAAAGAAAACTAGAAAGAACAAAAAAACCATTAATTTAGGCACAGCACAAAAACTTAACTTTTCAGCCAGAACCTAATCATTTACTGTACTTATCTGTGTCTATATATATGTATATATATAACTGACTGATTTGAGCCCGGAGCAAAGCAGTTTTCTCACAGTCCCTGGACTGGAATCAATTGCAATTGTTCACGTATCCTTGCCATTACTCACACGACAGCTTGCGTCATTCATAAGGACAAAGAGTGGCCCACCTGAGCAAGTAAGTGCGATAGACACAAAGTCTGCTCGGAATTTATATGTAGCCCCAGGTCTCTGTAATATCAATGTGACTTCTACGTGTGCACAATAGCTGCAATTTTTGTTAACCGTAGCGGGCCGTAGTGGGCGATTGCCTCTCAACCTTTTTACGGACAGGACAGGCAGACAATGGCAATAAGGTCGCTTGATAGAGGCGTGCAGGTCCCATGCGGGTCGACATCTACCTGTGCCTTCTGGTCTGTCCTGAGAAGATTTTGCGGCAGACAGTGCGACGTCTTCGTCGGCACAATGATCTAACTAATAATGTGTCCCATTGATTCCTCTAATTCTGTTTGCAGCAGCAGCAGACACAGCGGCAACACCTTGAGCACTTGGCCAAACCCAACAAACGGCAACAAGTTCAAATACCCATTTCTCAACATGATATGCTTTTCGTCAGCATCACGAATTGATGTCGTCGACATCGATGTTTGCCAAGTATTGTCCCCTAATTGCTGCCAATTAATTAGAGCATTCGTACTTCTTTTTTTTCTATTCTGAAGTGTGGGAAGATACTCTAATTCCCTATATACATAAATATATATCATCTGCTTATGTCAATCACATTCACAAGTGTGTCTTGAGTTATGGCCAACAGCTTGGACATATATTTGTGTTTACATACAAGCAGCGAGAATAATGCAGGACCAAAGCTGGCAGAGCTCATATTAAAGATTGGATGTCTTTTGTTACAACTTGAGATCTAAAATGATATATGCACAGTTTCCAATTATTATTAGATCTCTTTTGTTATCCTTATTGATATAAAACAGAATAATATTTTTTGTGAGCGCGTGTAAGGAAACCGATATTGATCGATAATTTTAAGACCTCCAATTACAAAATGCATTTACTAACGATTATTTTCCTTAAATCTTAAACAAATAAAAAATATAAAAACAAAAATTGTTTTTGAAAAATGTGATAAACTTTTAAATTTTTCACAAAGTCGATTATTGACATGTTCGCCTAATAGTAGCCTATTGCCTAATTGTTTATCCACAGATTTAAGCAAGCAATATCTTAATAAATATATATTTATGAATCATATGCTAATCCGTCTAGCGAAATTTCTTAGGATCTTAGGATCCCAAAGATCGTTCAAAGATCCCCGGCATGCAATGCCCCAAATATTGCTTTCATCGATCGATAAAAATCAATATAAATGTATAGAAGCTTTGATTATTATAATAGTAATAATTGCATCTGTTATTATTGGATTTATTATTAATGTATCCATCTTAATTATTGTTATCACTATTTCAAAGTCTGCGCTCTTTGGCTTAAACGTCGCACAAAGTCAGAGATTTGAATCCGTGTCGTTGTTGTTCGGCGGCCTGTTTGGGTGGCCTACTTAGGCAATTCTTCCACCATAATAATTATTAATAATACCCAAATATTTTACATAGTTATATTAACAATGATCGACAGTTTTGACAAAGAAACCACAATTACGAATGTTGCACTCGTAATGTAACCAACTTATGTTAGATTTTTCGTTAAAATTCATTATACAAGTCATTTATATTTTTTTGTGCTAACTAAGGCTGATTATTTCGTATTATGTTAACTTTCCCGATTCAAGCATTATACTTTTGCTTGAATAAAAATTGTATAAGTAGTTCGATATTTTTGATATATAGATATATAGTCTTGTCCTATTACAAATATGATTTAGCATTCTTTAAAAACATGTTTTGAAATTATTTTCATACTCGCAATAAAAAGTTTTGCAGAAGTTATTAAATCGTTTTTTACACTCTGTGGATATTTATTGTTAGTCTCGTACAAAATCGTTAATATAATATAATTTTCCCTATAATTTATTAAGCAATAAATATTGTATAAGAACAGAACTTATAAGAAATTAAAATTTTTATAATTACGCAATGTGGAAATTTAATTTGTAATACGATCCCATTAAATAATAAGATAAATATTCTACTCGTAAGCAACAGAAATTATTATCTAATTTCACTGAAGATCTGTCCCATAAAGATGTTCAGCACATTTCACAGGAATTATAATCGAAATGAAAAATAATAATTGCCCAACTATAAAAGTAAACAAGACAGCATTGTGGCAGAACAATATCAGATAAAGTCACTTCCTAACAAGAAAGTAGTTTTGGCTATCAATAACCCAACGACGTCTTGGGACAATTGCCACGTAGGAGGCACTAGGCTATCTGCCATTGATGACCACAAAAAGGCCAAACAAAAGTCATCGGGTGGTCCACAAATTTTCGCAACTAGATAATTGCCAACAAGCAGGACGAGATCTTGCACTTTCTGGCCTGGGCCACACAGCACGGCTGGCTGAGAAATTGAAATGTCTTTTGTGCCCTAATAGAGAAATATACGGGCCATAATTTCGCAATGCAACAATAGTAGAGCAATTGAATGGGCAGTGCAAAAAAAAAGAAAAGAGCAGTGCATAAAATAATAAAAAAAAAAAATGGAGTCGTTGATTCGATGGGTATATCAGCGTAGAAAACCGATTGCTACCTTTCACAGCGCCAGTTCTCGGCCAAGCAAAGTGCGTCGATGGGTTTCAACCCCTCGAGGAACAACCCTCATCCCCTATATATACACACACATACACACACCCAAGGGCTGGCGGGGGGTAGTGGCAGTAGTGGTAGCCGTGGTTGCCTGTGCGCTGACGTTTTGTACAAAGTGTCAGAGTATCCATTTAATTGGGAAATTTATTGGCCAGCAGCAACGACTGCGACGACGACGACGATCCGCAGGAATAGGAGACAGCCTGTCTGGCCCTCTTGTTGGCTTTCTTCGGCTCGCATGTTTGCGGTTGCTGGAAATGCTTTCACAATGCAGCTCTAGAGGGGAAGGTAGACTAACCCATAAAAAAAAAAACAAAAACTAAAGACAAATTCGTGTAAAGAAATGGATTTGTATCGCAAACACGAGTAAAGTGCCACAATGTGCTCGTCGTACAATTCGACGTGTGTGGCTGGCATGTTGGTATTTCTATGCGATGTTATTTTGTGTTCGTTCCGATTATATGAGACTTTCCCGCTAATTATATTTGTACAGGCCACGCTTCAGTGCCAGACATTGCCCAACATTTTCCAGCTATGTACTTATCAACAGGCTGCTTACGTTGACGATTTGCAATCGTATTTTCCAAGCCGAGTCTCGTCGTAATCCTAGGCGCAAAAGTGGGTATGTCCCGACACACGCTAAACGATGCGTTTATCTGCATAAACACTCTTAATAAGTCGATTGTCTGCAACCTAATCTCCGCTGCCGCTGACGACTCAACGCACCTAATGAGCGTATCTTTCCATTATCTCACACCGCAAATGTATGCAATTTGGAAACTAATCCTAACGCCGGGACTTGCACAACTCTGCGCAATCTATGACTACAGATAGTCACACACACACACACACACACATGTGTATGCATTGAGGGACCTAAGGACTTATATGGTTATTCCGCGCACATGGCCAGAGGTGAGCCATAATCTGTTTGGTCAGATAAACCACAGTCAGATAGTCCCCTAACGCAGATAATGGGGAAAGATGATACGACAAACTTTCGGATTGGCTTTATTTGGCCCTTGCATTTCGCCCCGATTCACCCATAATTAAAAAGACGTTCATCATTATTATGCAATTGCATTCAAATCAAACCAAAAATCGACCAAAACAACAACATGCAGCGCCCAGCTGGACAACATAACCAAAAGGTAAACAGTAGGTGGTGCCGGAAGTGCCACAAAAATTCAAAACAAACGGCCGTTTGTCGATGTTGCAAAAGGTCGCTGTGCAGTTTCCCAAACTAATCAAAACTAATGATGACATAATTGGCTCGATTGGGCCAAAAGGAAGCAGCCCAGTCCTGTGTGGACACTATGCCCTGTCCTGTTTCTTATGGGCTCGAAATCGAATAGAAATAGGAAGTGGTTGACAAAGCCACACACACATATTGTCCTCGCAAGGAAACAGCCATCAGTCAGGGGTCCTCAGAAAAACAAGTTAAAGAACAAATAAGAGAGAGAAAAAAAGGTAATTGATTCGTTTGCAAAATGCAATGCGATGACACTTGGATTCTGGTGCCCGCGGTGTGGTCCCGTTTAGCAATTAGCTGGAACGTTATAACTACAATGAGGAAA